CGTTTCCGAAATAGATGGCACAGCCCACTTTCACACGCTCCCAAGCAATCGCAGCGTGGAGTATTGGAACTCAGTTAAACGGATACTTTCATTGTGAAGTGAATTGCCCGGCGCAGTGGTTTGTTCAAAACTACTTTGTGTTGACAATACCTTCCATTAACTATGCAAAAACTACCAATGAGCATCTCGTCCATGTTCAGGACCACCATACCAAACGACAGTCGTCTGCGTTCCTTGTTGGTGGCGTCGTGAACGGGGCTCAGAAACCGAAAGAAATCTAGAATTAGCATGAGGTTAGTTGACTGGAGAAATCAAGCAGCATTCGAAACAACTGCACGAAAACCCTGCAGTGAGAATATGCAGGGTAGCAATGTAGCTTTGGAGCGAAATCACAACCGTTTTGCCGGTGCGTTAAGATCGAGGGACAGTAAAGTTATCTATGCTTGCGTTGTTGTCCCTGCCATGACTGTTTTCTTTGACCTGCGCTGGCCAACATTCCGATATGCTCTCGATATGTTCAGCGATGGGGTTTTAGACGCGTATAATTACATGGAGTGGATTGCAGTGGCTTTCTCCCTGCAGTTGAGAAAGCTCTTCATGTGTTTGTGTGTGTGGAATCGCGTTGCCAGCTCCGAAATCGTGGCCAAGAATTGTTCTTACACGGACAGATCTACATTCACGAGGCAGGGCCATTTTGCTCTAACCAGAGAGAGCCAAATGGGGCTGAGCTGGGGCGCGGAATAGAAGCCTACAGTGGACTGTTTATCCTCGGGGCGGGAAGCAAGGGACCAAAACAAGGAATTGCGGCTGAGTACCACTGTGTGCTTGTAAGTTACTGCGATGCCCCTGAAGATTGTCAATGTGTCGGTAGGAAGCACTGTTGATGGATCGATCTGTAGACTAATCGCAAGCAGCTGGAGGGCCAGGTGGGACAATGTGCAGTAATCCAGGGTGTGGCTGTTTTTTCATCTCCTGTTTGACCCGCTCGGGAGACATCTTGTGTACGTTGAGCAAATGCCTCTTCAGATGACATCGCTTTGGGTGCGTCTTCCCACAAGAGCATCGGTATACCAAAACTCTGTCATGAACTTCACGACGATGGCGAGTCAAGCCGTTCAGGCTCGGAAAGCTTTTCGAACACGACTCCGCGTTGCAAGCAAAAGGACGAAATCCTGGATGTGCGCGAGCAGCATGTGTTTCCAAATGTGCCGGGAACTTGAACTCAAGGTTGCATCCTTCATATGAGCATGTGTACGGAAGGTTGGAGGTGGTGTGCGTGGCATGCTCATGTCTAGTCTTGGCACCGAAAGAGTCATACGATGCATCACAGTAGCTACACTTGTACTTGCGTGGGGTTTCAGTGTGCACGTTGCTGATGTGCGTCCAAAGGGTGTTCTCCGAGGCGTAGAAGCCACCGCAGCGCGGACATGAATATGGTTTGAGATCCTGATGGGTGTGACGGAAGTGACGGACGAGTGTTTCAAGATCTGCCATTGATTTGCGGCACACGACGCATGACAGGCGTGTTGCTGAGGAGGAGCTGTCTACCTTGGTGGAATGGCGTGCACGCTTAGCAGGACGAGGGTGATGTTCTGAAGCGTGAGCAGTTTCTGGCGTGTTGGAGGAGTCGGCGGTTTGTTCCTTTGTGGGGGGGGTGGGGGTCTTTGCCACGATGAAGTCAAACGGAGCGTCATTGGCCAGCGGCTCCAGATGAATGGACTTGATGCGATACTGATGACGGGAGAGGACATGGTTAAACTGCTGCAGGGCGAAGTAAACGTTCTTGGATTGAGCGAGTTGGAGTTCAGACTCATGCATATCTCCGATAGCACAGAGCTCGGCGTCGGAAAGGGCGACATTGGGTGCATTGTGCAATGCGGCAGAGCGCAAGGTAGAGAGAGAACGTTTACGCTTGAGGGGCCGTAGCGGGTGGGACTGATGGTGCGAGACGCGAGGAGAGTGGCATGTGGAGGGCGAGGTTTGCTGGTGGGGCGGTGGTGGGGTGGGCGGAGATAGCACGGCGGGGGTGAGATGGATGTTATGTGCGTTGAATGCGTTGTGCAGATGCGGTGGAGGGTGGGGCTGGGGCGGGACGGTGAGCGGAATGATGTGGGCGTCTGGCTTTGCGGTTGGCGAAACGGTGAGCAGTGAGGCGGTGACGGGTGAGATGAGTGATGGATCGTACAGGGGGCCGAGGAATGAATCGAGGTTTGAGGCGGTGGTGGGGGGGGTGACGGAGGGCTTTGCGGTTAAGGGAGCGATGGGGGTAAGCGGTTCGGGCGGGTGCAGGGTGAACTTGGAGGCGTTGATGGTGGGATCGTCGACATCGGTGGCCGGGGAGGAGAAGATGGAGTCCATATCGCATGGGATGGAAAGATAGCGCATGAGATCGATGGCGGCAGTGGACGGGATGTGCGGGGGGATGGGGGATTGGGGGGACTGCATGATTGGATGGTGTTTGCACTGGCGCAGAGGGGGGGGGGGGGGTAGGGGGAAGAACAGGCAGTACTAAATAGCGCGGCGAACATGGGGATGAACAGGGGGGAGGGGGGGGGGGGGGTGCGGGTCGCGCGAGCGGTTGCGGGACGGCGCTGTGAGAAGGTGGGGGAAGTATTGTGGGGTAAAGTTTAAGTTGAGAATACAAGCGGCAAAGTGCGACTCGCCGCGCGGGGTGGGCTGACGGGCGGAGCATGTACAAGCGTCGCGCGCTTACGTAGCGCGGCTGCGAGCTGACGTGATGCGAGTGCGTGCGCTTGCAGACGGGCGCGGGCGCGTGTACGCGGCTCCACTTGGCCGCGCCGCGGCGGCGACCAATGGGCGCGCGCGCTTGTGTGAGCGGCGCGTGAGGAGAGTGCGTTTTTGCGTATTATTAATAGCTGAGCTGCGCGCACTGGCGCTGTTGCGCTCGCTGGTGGAGCGCGGCGCGCACGCGGTGGGCGTTCCGCTCCGCGCCGCGTGACGCAAGCGGCTTACTGCGTGTCATAGTATGGACTCCAAACCACTACGCCACATGTCCGGTGTGAAGTGATGATAGGTGCAGCTGGTACACGTGTATCAACCACCACACTGCTGCGCCCGTGCACGCGGCACGCCAGAAAGAAAAACAAAAATATTAATAGATGCGCATTCCTTCCCATGTCCCGAACAACACAAAAGCCGCGCTGACCAAACTTGTTGTCATAAAGCTGTCAACAATACCTTTCCATGATGCTCCTTTAAAAATAATCGTTTCAAACCGTATCGTTCCCCATTGCTACGCTTTCTTCAGAGCCGCATCAACCACCTTCCTCATTTGCTTAGAGATTGCACATTTCTCCACTTCCGTCTCGCTCACCCACCGGTACCCGTCTCCTCTCCGACCTGCCTCATCTTTCGTCACCTCCACTTTCAAAGCCTTCACCACTAGTCTCTGCCGGATGTGCGAGAAAACATGCCTCACCTGTCCTGCATCAACCAAATTCAAATCCGAGTATTCCCCATTCTCGCCGCAACAAACTCCCGCCACCCCATCCACTTCTCGCAGCACCTCTCGAAACGCCTCATCCCCGCAATCATCCAAGTCCCAATCCACCACTCTGTTGGGAGTCTCCCACAGTCCGCCCAACAGCCCGTCACCCTCACGCCTTCTCAGTAAAACCTCTCGCCGTCCTCCACGTTGCACGAACACCACCAGCGCAATAACCGTTTCCGAACGCACCTTAATTCTCTTGGTCTTATCTTTCATAGGGTACCTACTCACATAGCTCGAGGCCTCAACCTTGGCCCTTTGTGCCTCTTGATAAGCGTCGCACAGCGCTGTCAGCGGGCACTTTTCACACTGCGCTCCCTTCGGCTTGCACACACTTGCACCAACTTCCATCAATGCTTGATTCAAATCCCCCGCGTTCTCAATATCCTCCACACAAGCACTGGCAACCTCCCAGTACGCACGTGACCTCTCTTTGCCCGGTGCACAATTCTGACTAAGTCCACTGCGCAGTCGAGAAAGCACCCGTTCAACATTGCCATCAACTGCAGCAACCGCATGACCAAACGCAATTGAACTCACAGCGCCGGCCGTATACCGTCCGATGCCACAAAGTTTTAACAGAGAATTAACGTCGCCGGGTATCCGTCCATCGTGTTGGTCAACGATTTGTTTGGCTGCCTCGTGCGCAAACCTTGCTCGCCGATAATAGCCCAGCCCGGCCCATAGTTCGTACACTCGCTCGAGAGGTGCTTCTGCGAGATGTTTAACGGATGGAAGCTCCTGCATCCATCGCTTGTAGTACTGTACAACGACGGACAGTCGTGTTTGTTGAGACATCACTTCGGAGATCCATACGGCGTACGGTGCGCCTGGCGACGAGGGGCAATCCATATTTTGCATTGGCTTGGGTGCCTTGCCATTCTTTTGATGTCGTGGAGGTGCACGCCACGGTAATTCACGATGATTGTCTACGTACCAGTCCAGGAGACGCTGGCGTAAGATCTGCACTTGCTCAAGAGAGAACGTAGTATTGCTTTTGTTTGCATTGTCTGCAGCAGATACAGTTAGGGATGGCGATGGTGATGATGACGACTGCACAGCGGCTGATTGTGAGGGTGGCGATTGGTAAGACGAGACATCACTTGCAGCGGATGCACGTCGACGTTTCCTTAGTGGCGATGAAGGCGGCGAGTAGCGCTGCACGGGCACGCGTCGACGGGTTTGCCGCATGGTGCACACACTCGAGACTGTGCAAAACAGAAGTGGTGATGACGGAAGACGCTTGGTAACTCTCTCAGCAGACATCACGCTGCCACTTGCTGAGCATTCTGACGGAGATATGTTGCCAGTGGCAACATATCTCCGTCAGAATGCTGGCAACTTGCCACACGTCATGTGCTCGCGTCGTTAGTAACGGTCCGAACGGGCAACACAACACCCAAACGGCGCGAATCGCCGTGGTCTACCAAGCGTACCTGCGAATATCACAAAAAAAAGCAAAAAATATTTAATTCCTCCGGAATTGGACATCGGGCCACTGCGAGAATCGAACTCGCGACCTCATCCACCCTAAGGATGAATCATACCACTAGACCAAGTGGCCTACGATGTTCTGTTGAACGAGACCGGATCATACAAGGTATAAAAATCATATTGCTCAGCTTTGCGAATCTGTATGCAACTGTGCGTCCGCCCTGTACACTCTGCAGCCGCATCCTCATCCGAAATTGTTCACTTCGCTCCCGCGCGCAGCTCGGACATCCAACTGCTGCTTTACCGTTGTATCCATACGTACACCAAACTAAGCGTCTTGTCTGTGCAAGAGAGCACATTATTCCCTTCCAAAAAGGAGCAACGCCTCAGATCTTCTCCATTACACCAACCCCCCCGTTCGCTCAAGTCAATGACTGATCAACCGCAAATCAAGATCCCGCGTTTGAATACGCCGGGCAAATCCACGCTAAACAGCTTGCTCACCGCCCCATTCTCCATTCCGGCCGCTGTGTTCGGCGCCACTGCCGTCATTTCGTACGTCATGTGGGTCCGCCGCAAGACAGCTATCGAGCGTTCATCCGACAGCTCTGAGTCACAGTGATTCAATGTAGAAAACGATATGGAATCGTCGTCGCTTCTTCCTAACGGCAACTTTAATAACCGTATGCAACGATGTTCTTCATTTCAACTATGAAAATTCTTCGAGCCCAAAGTGTATGTGCGGAAACCCTTCAACAACTCTCAAGATGCTGCCTGTTGCACAGAATCGAACCAGCTTCCCCCTTTGCCCAAAGCTATGCCGAGTGCTATCTTACAAGTGCTACTAAACAGAATGCATCCTCAAAGAAGGAACCCACATCTCCAAAAAGTATGCAATATAACAAACGCAGTGCTCGGCTTTTCTTCTTCGCCAATTGCCCTTCGGAATCGCCTACAGCTACACGTCATCATTGCCAGCCAAGTTAACAGCATTCAGCGCGTCTGCAAAACGCGGAGATGCAAAAACTGTACCCTCCGTTGTTGTGTGTAAAGGATCCATTTCAACTGCTTTGCATTGGTTATTCCCTGTACCTCCATCCTTCTCTACTTGTTCCGTCGTCTCCCCAAAGTTCATAACCTTCCCATTGTTCGTATCTTCCGCATCATCCACAAACTCAAATTGAATCTTTTGCTGCGGTTCGACAAAATGAGTGTCATTGTCCTCTCCCTCAAAATCTGAATCATCTATATCATAGTCTGTCATGCCCGCTAGCGTATCGAATCCTTCATCTACTTCTACTTTTTTGGTGCCTTCACCGCCACTTGATCGCCTAGAATGCGATTCTGGCATCAAAAAGTCTGCGGCCTCCAACTTACCGCTCTTACGTTTATAGTCTTGGCTGGTCTCTCCTGTTGGTACAGAGTCGTCTATGATGTTCGTCTCCTGTACTTCACCGGCAGTCCTTGGTATTTCGCGTGCTTCGGAAACTTCATTGAAGGGTAGTGCAGACTGCTTTGGCTTTTCAATAAGCTCGTCCTCCCCTTCCGCCATTTCGCGATCTATCGATTTTGTATTCCGGGCAACTCTCTTATTCGTAATGGCATTAGAAAGCGACTCATTGTTCTCTTGCGTATCGCTTCTTTGTGGCATTTGTTTGTCAGTTGTTTCATTGTACATTGATGTATCATCAAGCTTTCTTCTTTTAAGTTGCCTTTCTGAAGTGTTCTCAGTACGATCGAGGCCTTCCTCGTCTTCCCGCAAATTTTGCTTGTGGGTAGGTTTTTGTTGGACGTGGTCGGGAGAGGCGACTGCCGTAGTAGCGTCGGTCGTCGTAGTAGTGGCGATTGCCGTGGGAGCGATGGTTGCCGCTCTCTCCTGGTCCCGCCGTGAATATGGTCGCTGTTGACTTGTTCTGTCGCGCTTGAGACCCGTAGATGGATGTCTTACGGGACGAGTTCGCTCTTCTGGTGGGATTTCTAAGGCTTGACGGTACCAAACATTCACAACTTCTGATATAGTAAGGTCCCAGTGCTTTGCTCGACATTTATGTCGCAGGTAGTTTGCAGCACGCGCTACGGCCCCAGTCAAACGTCCACCAACGTATTGCTTTGAAACTATCCCGAAACATATACCTTTCCTTTTAGTCCCATAAGCACGCGTTACGTGAACAATGAGTTCCGGAAGTCCCTTGATAGCTAAATGTACAACTGGAAGATATGTCTCATCGTGACGGATTGCGTAAAAGTAGCGTTCTGTTTCATGCTTGTTTGGGAACAATGCTTTGCGAACATTTCTGACCTCATCTTGGACAACAATATTGACTTCCTCAAGCTCCCGCTGAGTTTGAGCTTGATTACTCTTTCTCTCCCTTTGTTTAGCAGTAACTTGAAGAATAACTTCTGCGAAACCTTCTAGAAACCTTATGACATTGTCACCAAGCTTGACTTCATGTCGCTTGGCGAGATTCGTAACTTGGGAAGTGTGGATAATTTCTAGCCACCTCTGCCTGGCGGGGTTGTGTTGATCGTCCATTTCTCTATGTAACGTTGTCCCCGGCGTCGGCAGGAGTCAAAGTGAGCCCTGGAATAGCTTCCCTGCATCCCCTCTCACGACCTTGTGAAACCACACCCCGTGTATCCATACACAAGTATCGAAGCCAGGACAGTTGCAAGTGAACCGTTATCATGATGCCACATGTTTCAGCTCTCGTCGTTCCACTCAGCATCGAATAACCGACAGAGGGTCATTTTTTCATTGATTTGGAAAACACAGAACCACCCCCGGTTCACAGTAAAGATATTCCATTACAAAAAAGTGAAGGTTTGCGACGGTAAAGGGCTGGCAGCTCTCCTTGTATGATTCGCATGTTTCATGTTAAGAGCGAATTCTTGGCACTTTTGGCAGTCTGGCATTTCTTTCCCTGTGATTACGTTGGGGAAGAGGCTGGGCAGAAGATTTGCGTTGCCGTGAGCAGATCAGGAAATGTCGTTGCGGACACATGTTTTATTGACGCCCAGAGGTATCCCTAGGTAGACAGACTACACCAGAACATTGCGGGTTCGCTAGAGTATTGATGGGAACATCAGCAAAATTTGATACGAAGCTTCTTACAAATGCGGAGGTTTGGAACGGCGCATAGCAGAGTGCACCAAAACCACCCAGAGGTATGCAATGATGAACTTACAAACTATCCCAAGTAACTTCCCTTCCCAATTTCGTTTGCATCGTCCAACGTTTTTATCTCCACGGCTATGCACCGTCAGTGCTCAAACCTTGATCTTTCATCGCTACTAGTGCATCTGACCAACATCATAGTCACCATTCCTTTACACTGATATTGTATCATAGAGGTATTTTCAATGTTAGCTTAAGATCGATCGTGTGATCTGATCTCGGGCAGTCTGCAATGCTTGTCCCAAAGTTTGTTCACCAAGGGGAACTTGATCAATGAAGCTTCCCCCTTGCTGTCCAACACGGACCGCGAGTTCCGCTGGTTCACTTTCCATAATAACACCTTCCTGATCCACAAGCTCATCAACTACGAGCAGAACAGTCTCGAGGTTGTCCAATACTGCTTCTTCGAACACTTGACCGCGCATAGTGATACTCAAAGTTTCATCCAGAGATTGAAGCACCTCCGCCATAATCAATTCATTTTCCAGAGGGCCTCCCACAACAAACATTAAGAGATCGTCAGCTTGTTTGTAGGCGACTACAAAATTCTTGAATTCCATAACATCAACACCTTCGGATAGGTCACCCATTGTTAGAATTTTCCGTAGCAAGGTCATTTCGAAGTCGCGCTGTGATTCTTGGTCATCCCATTGAACACGATCGCAGAAGCGTGAACAGACGCGCTTTCCATCGTGATTTATAATAATGACCGCTTTTACGAGCGGTTGCTCGACTCCCGAAAGACCTTTCATCCGAAAGTACAGTACCGCCAAAACGAAACGCCTCGAAGTACCTCGCAAAGGGATCGACTTGTTCGAAACAACGCTCGTTAGTGGTGCTTCAAGACTTTTAAGTGTACCTCTCAACAAGAAACCCAACGCAAGGGTAAGGTGTTCGAACTGCGCGCGAAAGAGGTCGAAGACAGAACTACTGTTTGACGGAGAGATTCCTCACGGGTTGCAGGCGTCAAGAAAGGAGGATTATCGATGTCAGCAATTAACCGCTTACTAATCGACGATAGCCCGGGGAGTTGGGGTAGCCTTGACATCAGTTGATTGATTTCGTAAATCAAGTCGGTTATTCAACTTAGTAGCCTTTCTGGCCCAGGCCCTCCCAATACGAAAATTTTCTATTTATCCTTTTGACATGGTACTGTCAGGTGAGACATAAACAATCAATCCATTATCCAATGCGTATCGCGCGGTTCTCCCTGCGAAAGTGAGGACAGATGATCAACAAATGATGCAAGACCGCCAGAAGAAGGGGCCAGACATGTTCGGATATTCGGGATAAACTTCGAGGCTTCTTCCAAGAACTGACTTCTAAAATCACCTACTTGGTGCAAAGGAAATATCAGACCGTAAGACGAGTTGCTGCTGTGCCCAGGTGCGATGAAGAGGGGGGTATCATCATCGAAGGCGCTCTGTTTCGATCCAGACGCACTGTCCTCTCCTAACTTTAACGCCCAAAAGTTCATTGCCGAGCTTCGCGTACGCGCACCATTGCGAATTCTACGAGATGATCTACGCACTCACACTGTTTCTTTGCAATCAGAAGTCGTATCGAAACTGCAAACCGATTTTCATACTTTCAGCACTTTGAATGAAACCATTGGAGACGTCAATACTCTATGCGATGCAACAAATCCCACGCTCAAGGAGCTTCAAAAGACTCTAGAACAGCTCCTTAAGGATATTGACGATCATATCAACGCTTTAGAAAACACCCTATCGTATCGAAGACATGTTAATGGACGGATATCAGCACTACAGACTCTAATCTACGCAAACGATCTTCTTCACAAATGTGAAAGACTACTTAACGAGTACACGTCTCTTCCGGATAGAACAACACAAGAAGCGTTGCGTGTCATTGAAAGAATAGCCACCGAAACTGCCCAACTCAATTTCACTCTGAATCGAGCTGTCAAAGGCGCGTTCTTGAGAAGCCTTACT